CAGTTACATCACTTCACCGAAGTAAATAGTGTTCACATTGTATTGTTAATGTCACTGCTATGTATTGTTTGCTAAGAATAAACCAGTACTAGGATCCACCACCGTCCTGGTACCAAGCTAGTCGCATGGTGGCAAATTTTCCTCTGATCCACAAGAGCGGCGACAGCCTGGGGTGGTGACGAACTGGCGAAGACTTCGTCTAGGCTAACCTCGGAACTCCATGGAACTACAATGGCTAAGCTAGCAAAACTTCGAAAAGTTGGAAATTTTGCCCGGTACCAATTTCGCGACGCCGTAGGGAGAGGCTTGGTTGTCCTGGAGCGGAATCGAAATATCACCATGCTCGTGAAGACGGACGTCACTACCACCGTGCTACCCGCCTTCTATATGTACATGTATACACGCCGTAATAATGCATATAAGTAACGTACCGTTTCCTGATTCTCCCGCGCGCGAGAATAATACGCTGTTTGGTCGATCATTCTCGCAAACAATTCTCTTTTGTTGTAGATTCCGACTAATTGTGGTTTTGGCATTGTGACGGACAAGGACTTTGAGAATATTCTTTAATAAGCTGCATAAAGAGAGTAGAAAAAATAAAGCTCTCGGCGTTGACCAATCCCTGAGAGACGCACCATGCATTCGACTTCATTAAGAATCATTGGAAGTGACTGCATGCATATCTGGCCTTTTACAATGACTCGCGGTGGCCTACCGATGCATCGAGCCAGTGCTGCTATCCTCCCAGACAAGTCTGGTACCAATTTGCCGACTACGGAGGAATGGAAGGCTTGGTAGGCCAGGGGCACAGGGATCGATTCCACGTGTGTATCGCAGTAGCGCCTCGAACCACTGCGCCACAAGCGCCCTATGAATTTAATAGAATATGAGTTAAAATCTAACTTAACCGAAGCAGCTATGGGCATCAATGATACACGGTTATCTAGTCTTATATTGTGATGGAATAGAAGATCGAAATTCTCAGAACATTTGAATTCGCACTGTTTTCATATCAAATAACAAAGCTGTCTGTTAACTGAGAAAGACTTTTGAATTAGTATTGGCTCGGGAGCAGGCGTTCAGCCCATGAATGAACTGGTTGGTCATCATTTTAATATTAAAACTCGTGTCAGGCATTATTTTTTTAAAGCAAATTAAAAATCTGTTTGAATGTTTCGTCATTGTGTAAATTTGCCAAGAACAAATATATCTTTTTGTAGGAAGAGATTTTTTCACTATGACATTTGCGACAACGTGACCTCTAGAAAGATAATTTGTAATGGGATCTTGTGATCGATGTGGTTACACAGACTAAATGCTGTATTACTTAATATTCGTACCTATTGAATGATGGAAGACAGCCTCTTTTATGATCTTGTCATATCATCAACCCTTGGTCTCTTCTGGTTTCCGAGAAGTTATCTAATGACCGAAAATTACGTCTCGTTTCATTTCCCGGTCGCGGAAAATTGGACCTTATCGTGAATGTGTAAAAAAGCTTCATATTCCAGCACATTTTTCGTATTCCGGTTGTTAATTCTTCCATTTAGTTTCTAAAAACCACTTTCTTTTATTCAAAAGTCGTCGGTCGTCGTCGGTTGAAGAGGCGTTTTCCATCTGTCGACTTGTTGGATTATCGGGTGTTAGCAATTCAAGCAATTAATTTTTTGTTTAGTAAGTTAAAGGACAGAAATCTCCATTTCAGTGATCTACCGATGTATCGAACCACTGCAGCTATCCCATCCTGGTCAGATCTATTACCAGTTTGCTGACCCCGGAGAGATAGAAGGCTTGACGAGTCTGAGGCGACTTTGTCTGCTTTGAAATAGGTAGTTCCGCCACTCTTACATTACGCGATGGTTTCCGGAATGTTTTTTCTTTGAAAACAAAAGTGGATGCATGTACAAGCGATAAAAACAACAGATAGAGAAAAAAGAGAAAAATAGCGGTACTGGAAGGGCCGCAGAGTTTGGTGGGAAATACGGTCGCAGTGCTCTCCCGTTACTCGTCATTTATAATATCAAGATTGCCCTTTGCCAATGAGACTCGATGGAGTAAACTCTGTGTTTAGAAAAGTAGTGAAAAAGTGTGATGCACGCACTCTTCTTTAACACATTTGACAGCTTCGTTCACCTTTATTCATATCATATAAGGATAGATAGGAGAAAGGAATAAAGCGTTCATGTCTGGTGCTGCTAGCAACATACAAATGTGCGTTTTCGTCAAGGTGTTTAAAATTTGTCGGTAGATCAATAATTTAACCAGCTACCAACCTACCTTTTTCATCAATATGTTACTATTTCTTTTATCTTCTATGTTACCCGCCTTTCACATCTTCTGCGCGGATCCTAGCACTCCATGCATTCGATTAGTTCCCTCACATCCACATCATCCAGGATGGTCGTCCAAGTGTAGCTTCACCTTTCAAGTGTAGCTTTGCCTCCTGCTTGAGGATTTTCCTCTGATTATAAGTGTAGTTGAATGCTAATCTAGTCGACTCTCAATGAAGTCCTTAAATAGCCGAGCTAGAGCGTTCGCATTCCGATTGTGCAGAGTGGTTTTTTCCCCGAAGTCCACTACCAATTTCCCCACCTCGGGGGGTGAGAGGCGCCCTGACGACAGAGTGAGATCGAACGAGCACCGTGCTCGTGGTAATCGGCATCACCACACTTGTGCTGTCCACCCCTTAACACCTCATCCTTCTCAAGCGAAAAGGGTTTGACAAGGCAAAGGTTGTCTCTGAAGCTGTTTACTTTTTCATTGGAATGGATAATGAGGTTACTCTATTGAGAAGACAAGGGCCTACGCATTCATGGAAAAATTCGACCAAATCTCCGTACACAGAGTAGGAGAGCAACTTGGGCCGGACTAGGGTCTCTCAGAAAAGTTAGCGGCGCTCAGAAGGACCGAAAATCTTCGCTTATCTCCTCGGTTCTATAGACTTCCCAACGCTCAAGACGTATGCTGATACTTCAGCCATGTTAACTATAGTGCGCACTGCTAACGGAACTCTTGAACGATATCTTCTAAAAAAATAACCGACGCTCACAACGTCCAGTTGGAGCACTTGACCCAGAACTGCGAAACTTATTATCTCACCTTCCAGATACAGGAGACTATAGCAAAAAAGAACAAGAAAAAGACACTAGTGTATCAGACTCCAACGGAACGCAGTTGTCCTTTGGACGATCAACAAAACTATGGACGAACGGTTCGTGGCAAACGTTGACCACCGATATTCAAAGATGGGAATAATGTTAAAACTACGGAATGTGCTACGTGAACATAGTCATGTTTCGAGCAAAACACTTCAAAAGACGGCTACAGCACGAAAGAGAACAAATGGAAATTGTGTTGAGGCCCGCAGTAACAGCGAAGACGGACCATTCAACTATCCAAGCAGATGTGTGTTTAAAGATGTCAAATAAAGACTGTTTCTTTTTTACACAATTCTCCAAGTATGATTTTGTTATTGGTCATTTTACGCGAACAATTGATGAAAAAATAAGTGAACAACTAACAAGCTCTCTAATAAACGAAATAAGCGGAAAGTACATGAACAGCATTAGCTGATGAGGAACTGCACCGAGAACATCGCTTTGGCTATGAATCTTTCCTCGCATATGATAGCTACAGTCTCGACGCTGTCCTTGATCTGTAGGTGACCATTCTATATATACATATATATATACATATACACATGTATCTGTGTATAAAGGCGCGTGTGACGCAGTGATTGGAATCGCCCCGCAACACTCAACACATGGAATCGATCCTCGTGCCTATAGCTCACCAAGCATTTCATCCCTCCGCAGTTGGCAAATTGGTACCAAACTTACCTGGGACGATAGCAGCACTGGCTTGATACATCGGTAGTCCACCACGAGTCATTGTAAAGGCCAAATATGCATTCAATTACCTCCAAACGATGTTTAATGAGGTCCAATGCATGGCGCATCCCTCGGCTATTCATCAACACCGAGAGCTTTATCCTTTTGAGCTTTTAGCCATTGTTTTCCTGGAGTCCTGGGGTCGGCCTGCTCAAGGTCTTGCCCTAGGTCGTCGCGACCAGGTGTTTTGAAGACCATATTTTGCAAAATGCGGTGAAATGGAAAAGTGAAGAATCGTTTTCACAAAATCCTGAAATGTTGCGAAAATGCACTGCTATAGAGAACATTCTTTACGAATATTGGAATGTTCTCTATGTAAATCAATTATAACCTTTCCAAACATTTCAAATGCCTCTCCCATAACCTTTTCTCCATGACGATCTGATAGCCGTATGTCTAATATTTCGCTGGCGCCTATCTCGTAAAATATCTGCACTTACGGTCCTAGGCTTTGAATATCGCCCTATAAGATCGCAAGGCTTGAGAAATGTTTCCAGCACCCGTCTTTCTGCCTACTGTAGCCCGACTCCGCCTACTGTCATCTGACTCCGCCCAGCGCAAAGGTATATAAACGGCTCCACGGTTAGCTAGCTCATGTCACAGCAATGCTGCCCAAGTCACCGCATTCGTGCCTCACCTCCATCTCATGTAGTAAAAGTCATATGCCAATCTCTTCACTCATAAGCAACCTAAACACCAGTGATCAGGCTGCGTCTATTCATTGCCCGTATCATCGTTGCATTAATTATACAGTCGTACTGTTTTGTCAATCTTTCACTCATAAGCAACCTGAACACCAGTGATCAGGCTGCGCCTAGTCATAACCCGTATTATTGTTGCAATAATTGTGGAGTTTTACTGTTATGATTATTGTATAATTATGATGAACGGTTTAATTACCCAAATTTGAGGTGTCCGGCATTGTGGCTGCTAATCACAGGTAGTCCCGCGTGGCGTACACAAAGGCGAGCAGCTAATTCCAACCGAATTGTCCTAACTACTTGGTATTCCTATATCAAGGAGCCGTCCCAGCAATTTCTGGTGCATTGGCTGCTTGAAAGGATTTATCAGGTCAAGGAAGTCACAACCAAGTACATTAATTCGTCAATCATGTCCAACCTATCACTGGCAAGTCACAAACGGATACTCACGCGGTATACTAACCAATTGCAAAAAGTTCTAACCCGATTCAAAGACGCGCAGTTAGAAGAAATCTGCATTCAAAACGTGCAAGATGAGATAGCGCCTACCGTTATTCACACATGCCTACAGCAGTTAGAGGAAGGAGTTGCAGCGTTAGAAAACATGACGACAAAGATTCAACACGCACTAGATGAACTCGCTACCATGTTCGAAAAGACACACCCAACGTTGCCGAATATTGAAGAAGAGTTCACACAGTACTCGAGTACTGCCGAAGAAGCTATTGGCAATACTTTCGTATACCTTGTACTCCTTCATGCTCGGATCCATGGCTTCAACGCTCACGCTGAGCTTCTCAATACATCCCACAAACACTCCACTACGAACAGTGGCAAAGATGAATCCGCCGTTACTGCAGTCGTAAAAAATCTAGAGCTACCCATAATCCCTGTCCCAACATTCAATGGCGACATATGGAACTGGGACAACTTTTGGGAGCTTTTCAACTTAAATGTACAGTTACAAAATCTCTCCGAGCTACAAAAATTCAACTACCTGCTTAGTTCCTTAAAGGGTGAACCTCTACAATTGATGAAGAAGTTCCAACTCACTCGGCAAAACTACGCAAAAGCCATAGAATTCCTTACTAATAAGTACGGCAATTCTAAAAAACTCATCCGTCAGCTCCTCAAAAAGATGGACAAAATATTCCTCAACTCATCGTCCAAACAAGAGCAACGCAGACTATTGGAAGACATTATAGGCCAATTAGTGCAAAAAGGTGAAAATGTCGACAATCAGTCCATGTATCAAAAGGTTCTTTCGAAATTTCCGGTCGGGATCCAACGTAAAGTTCTTCACAAAAAATCACTTCTCCCGACGAACCCTTTACCATGCAACAGCTTCTAAAATATTTCGAAGAGGTTATAACCAGCGAGGAACTGGTGTGTCGCCAGACCATCTTAACACCTCCTCGAGATACAGTTTGTTTCAATAATAAAGGAAAATATTGGAAGTCACCGACGACAAAACTCGTGTGCATGTATTGTAAGGGCGACTATAAGCCTTTCTATTGCAGTAAATACGAAACACCTCAAAGAAGATACCAATACCTTCAAAATAATAACCTATGTCATATTTGCGCCTCTTCATTCCACAGCACAGTTCAGTGCAACGGGTCGTCATGTCGTAAGTACCAGAAACGCCACCACACATCATGCTGTTTCTTTTCAACACCAAACGAGAAGACGTTCGTGAAACCTACGAAGAATGCGAACTCCAAAAACGAGGCCAACGTTAGTAAACAAAAAGAGAAAGACCATAAAAACTCACCTCTACGTCCAAAATAAACCACGTCGGACAAGAGACACCGGTTAAAAACAAAATTTCGACGAAATCCAGCACAAAACTAAAGCCAACCTTCCTACCCACAGGGAAATTGACTATAATGAACCCAACCACAAAACCATTAGAAAAAGTTTCGAAAGACCGACTTTCTATGAACCTCGGCATAGGTAGTTGATATATTTATTTATGTGATTTTATAAACTGATCTTAAGCTGACGCGAGGTTGGTACAGATCTTCGTTGTCGTTGTCGTTGTTTTCTCTCCCGCACATAACATCACGGCTCTGAGGAAGGCGAGGTCGCCGAAACGTCAGCCATCGTTCAATAACATCAAGAACAACGACAACGACAACGAAGATCTGTACCAACCTCGCGTCAGCTTAAGAAGATTAGTTTATAAGATCACATAAATAAAAAAAATTGAGAAAGTTTCCGTCTTACTAGACACGGGAGCTGAGTTATCCTTTATCGACGAGAATCTAGCACAAAAGCTCTATCTACCGACGATAGAAGAAATTAAACTGCGGCTAAACACATTCGGCTCATGCAATGTACAAGAACGCGTTTCACGAAAGGTCCCATTACAGGTATGGGACGCGGACGGCCATCAAATATCGTTATTCTTGTTCACACATAACGCGATAACGAAGCCTTTTAAACCACCGCCAATTTGTCCAGAAGACATAGACTTCATAGTAAAACACAACCTCCAAATTGAGATAAGTAAAACCAGGCCCGTGGTCCAACCCGCCATTCAACTCGGATGCGACCAACTGTGGACCCTGACGAAAAACGATAAACCGTAACATTGAACTATCATCCGGTTTACATCTTATCCCAACACGTTTAAGTCATTTATGTACAGGACAATTAAAAAGTTCTATGCTACAGAAAGAAAATGATAACGTGTTGTTGCAAGTACAACACAGCGAAGAAAGAAACATGTTGCCCACACAGGAATTTAAGGATGAACTAGACAGATGGGATCAATACTGGGCACTACATGTGCAAGTCGATGAGGATCTAATGAATAAGCGTAATCAACATCAGATACTGGAATGTCAAATCCATGCTTGCCTTATTGAAGATTCAGAGACGGAGAGGAGAACGAAGCAGCCGAATGGGAACAATTTTGGACCCTCGAATCTGCCGGAACAGAAGAATTCACGAACTCCACAAAAATGGAAAAAACACTAACGGATCAGCAAGTATGGCGAACCTTCAAGAAAACTATTGAAAAAAGGTTAAACGGATATTACGTTCGTCTACCTTGGAAAGACGTTCAGCCATCATTACCCGATAATAAAGCAATTGCACTCAATAGACTCATAAGTGTTTGGAAATCCCTACAAAACAGCAAAGATCTGCTTGATAGGTACAATGTCATATTCGAAGAACAACTTCGCCTGCACATCCTAGAGGAAATCAACGAACGGGAACAGCCACAAAGCTCTCGAGTTTATTACATTCCTCACCAAGCAGTCCTAACTCCCAATAAAAACACCACTAAGATCAGAATAGTTTATGACGCATCAGCACACTATAAGGGATGCCCATCACTCAACGACGTCTTACACAGAGGACCAGTGATCCTCTCACAATTGTTCGGAATCCTTCTACGCTTTAGAATCGGACGAATCGCGATTACATCAGACATCGAAAAGGCCTTTCTGCAAATCCGACTCCATGAGGACGATCGCGATGCCACACGATGTTTTTGGCTACATGATCATAGGCTACCACCATTTCCGAACAACATTAAAACCCTACGATTCACCAGAGTAATTTTCGGATTAAATACATCACCATTTCACTTGGCCGGAACAATACATTTTCATCTTGATCAATATAAAGAAGAACCAGAATTAGTAACGCAAGTTAAAGACAACTTATACGTGGACAACCTTGTCGTAACCCTCGATGACCCCGAAGAAGCATTTCAGAGCTACCTACGCACAAAACAAATATTCAATGACCTCAACATGAATTTACGCGAATTCACTTCCAATAATATTGACCTAATGGCAAAAATACCCTCCGATAATAAAGCGGACACCCAATTACCGAAAGTACTGGGAATACCATGGAACACCTACTCCGACTGCCTGCTGATAACATGCATGACGAGAGCAAATCAACGTATCACCAAGCGAACGGTGGCTAGCACATTAGCTTCGGTATACGACCCTATGGGCTTTCTAACACCTTTACTCCATAAAGCAAAGGTATTCCTACGCAGCCTATGGAAAGACGAGTACAACTGGGACCATATTCTACCAGATGCCCGCAAGAACGAATGGTTAGCCATATGCACGGAAATGCAAGGTTTCACGAAGCCTCTATCACGTTGTCTTGGAACAAGAAATACAAAATACATTCTAGTAACCTTCGCCGACGCCAGCGTCGAAGCTCTGGCCACCTGCATTTATCTACGCTCCGAAAATTCAACCAATCTTCTCATGGCAAAAAGCAAACTGCCGTCCTTAAAATCTACATCAACAGTTCCAAAAATGGAGCTGGATGCGGTAACCATAGCTATGCGATTAACCAACGCCGTACTGACTCAACTTCGAAAAACCCTAGAAATCCAAGAAATTTTCATCCTTTCGGACTCGGAGATCGTACTTAGCTGGATAAAGCGCAAGCAACTAAAGAACGTTGGACTCAGAATATTCAACAGACAACTGGAAATCGAGAGGCTCGTCGACCACATACAAATGAACGGTTATCGCATCCTTTTCGGTCACGTCCCATCACGTTATAACGCAGCGGACTGTGCAACCCGTGGTCTTAGCCAGAAGGAATTGCTCGACCACTTTTGGTGGGTCGGACCACCTTTTCTCCAAGAATCTCCACACAATTGGGAAAACCTTTGCAACACTTTCCAACACAACGAAGACTCTTTGGAAAAGGGCCCAGAACTTCACAATAATCCGGTAGGCACGATATCCCAGGAATTTCTTCACGAAAAACAGAAACTGTTTCTCGCAAGGCACAACCACTCAGACAAGCAGAACGGAAACGATATCTTTACCTCATTGGGAAAACACTTCCTGACAAATGTTGAAAGGATCGTAGCAGTATGTTATACGCTTTATTCAAATCTCAGTTGCCAAGGTGAACATTCGTAGATAACACCGTATCATACTTTCCACACTTCTAAGTACCACGGAGGTCAACCTGGATCCCAACATCTCTGGCTAAGAGATTACTATAGCTGGAAAAGTACTAGTCAGACAGCATCAGTTGTTCACAGTAACCACGCCTATGCTCCAGTCTATGAGGCATCTCAACGTCAAACCAGACAAGGAAGGTTTGCTCGGATGCTTTGGACGGCTACACAATAGCGATTTAAGCAAAGAAGTCAAAAACGCTTTGCTTGTATTTCAGAATACGTGGCTTGCACAAGCAATCATAGAGAATTGTCACAAAAAAGGGCACCCAGGCGTTAGCCACGCAATATCAATCGTACGAGAACAATTCTGGATCCCCAAACTACGTGCACAAGTAACACGAATCCTCAGAAGGTGCGTACCATGCCAACGCTTCGACAACCTACTATACAAATATCCAGAAAAAAGCGACTTATCTAAGCATAGAGTTCGCAAATCACGACCTTTCAAGCACATTGGTCTCCACTATTTTGGTCCAATAACAATTATTCAATCGGATTCTGCCGAAGCTAAATGTTATGGAGCAATAATAATGTGTATAGCGACGAGACTAATACATCTTGACATTGTCTCCGACCTCACAACTACCTCATTCCTCATGTTCCTACGCCTATTCTTCGCCAGACGAAGAACGCCCGCATTAATTACAAGTGACAACGCTCCAACACTTGTACTAGCGGAAACCATTCTCAATGAAAGTCTTAAACCCATACAAAACGATCCAGAAGTAAAACGTACAATTGCGAACCATGAAATACAATGGAAATATATTACTCCATTCGTCCCATGGCAAGGGGGCTTTTACGAAAGACTCATCAAATCAGTAAAACACTCCTTCTACAAAACTCTTGGAACCGCAAAACTCTCAACAGAGCAGTTAACAACAATAATAATAAAAATTGAATCACTCCTCAATACGAGGCCATTGTTATACGTAGAATCGCAATCCGCACGAGAAGAAACGCTTCGACCTATCGACTTCCTTCAAAAAGACTTCGAAATTTTCACCGCAATAGATGAGATTGCCAACGAAACATGCGACCCCTCCTATCTACCATCAGAAGAGAAAGTCGTACTACGAACAAAAGAAGAAGTCATCAAGGCTTTAAATTCATCCTGCAGATTAACGGAAAAATTTTGGACAATTTGGAAATCTCACTACTTAACATCACTACGGGAAAAGCATCAGAGTACTTCCACACAAAGAAGCTCGAAATATACGCCTAAAGAAGACAATCTAGTACTAATCAACGACCCTGCGCAACCTCGATATTCGTGGAAGATGGGCAGAATTAAGGAGCTCGTCAAGAATTTACAAGGTATCGCACAGGAAGCCGTTATTCTACTACCATCACATNGCACGAGAAGAAACGCTTCGACCTATCGACTT